CATGTCTAACACTCATACTTACTTACATTTTGTTTTTTGGATGGATAGAAGGGTAATACACATGTGTGAATCTAACTGGGGTTTCCTCTCTAATTAGCTTAAGGATAGGCTCCCTTGGAGAGCATGTCTAACATTCAGACTTACTTACATTTTGGTTTTTGGATGGACAGGAGGGTAATACACATATGTGGATCTAACAGGGGTTTCCTCTTTAGCTGGCTTAAGGAGTGAGGATTTCACATTGAGCTAGTCTGCTTTAAAAGCTGTCTCGGGCTAATTGAGAAAACACGAGAAAACGTACAAGAATAATTAACACGTGTTTATTATTCGCGTTTGATACTTTTGGCTTCTTTGCATCATAGGTTGTGGATCTCCTGAATACAGTCTAGTGGCTCAAAATAATGTTACCGCCCCAAAGTTAAAATTTAGAAAAGTCATCTAGAAAATGTGCTTGTTTCAAGTACACTTGCTTCCTAAAGTTATGTTTATTTATCACTATTTCTAATTTACCTTAGTAATTCTAAGATCGTAAGAGAACTAGCAAAATTTTGTTAGTAATAAAAATATTTGGATGAAATAGCAATGCAAATGTACCCATAATAACATTGTATTTGTACAACTTTATCCACAATAACATACTTATATTCATTTACCCATAATAACAACCAACTTACATTCGTAAGCAATTTACATGTTCCTATTATCCTATATATTTTGCTCTTATAAAAAAAATAAAAAAATAAAAAAATCCCCAACAATAACCAAAGATAATGCATTTAAAACATAAGAAAAAACCCACCTACTTCCAATCTTTATTCATAATATATATAGTTATATACCTAGTTATAGACATGATATACCCCAAGACCTAACAACAGTCAAGTCAACTCAGTCAAAACAGTAAACTCCCAACATAAATTTACTCTATTATTACCTTTACAAACAGAGAACAAACAAACTACCTCAAAATTTCAATTTTCTTTTTTCTTTTTGTTTATTTTCACCATGTTCCAAAGCTGCATCCCACATGATCTTGAGTGATGATATTTAGGCGTTCTCTCATGATATCCAATGAAGGGTAAGATGGGAAACAAATTCGATAAAAACATGTGTGAGAAGATGGAAGAAGCTCTATTGAATCATTGGTTTTGTATATATAAAGCTTTGAAGCTAATCCACCAAAACCTTCTATTGGTAGATGCTTTAAAGATGTCCAAAAGAACAAAAGCACCTTTCTTTGATTCCCTGTCATTTCTTCAATAATCTGTGAAACAAATAATGACTTTTAATCAACAAGGTTAAAAAAGGAAAAAGAAAAATATGAGAAATGAGAAATGACAGGTGGCACAGGCATACCTCCCATAACCATGATATTTGAGGATCAGTTTCCTTATACCCATAATACTCAGTATGCTTCTTCCAATCTTCCACTGAAATAATACTTTCACTTCCATATAACATTCCATCAAGATCTTCACATTCCAAGCTTTTGAAAAACAATTTCCTTATTTTTTCATCTCCAGCAATATCTGTAAACCCTTTAGCAAAATAAGACACCTGTTCTGAAACAGATGTCACAAACCTATGTTCAATAAGAAGATCAACATACTCCTTCCTGTTTCTACTATTCACAACAATGTTCTTTCCATCTGCAAAAAGCTCCACAACTTTTCTTGATCCTAGTTCTTCAATTTCTCTAATGAATGTTAACCCAAGGGCATCTTCGTCAACTGTAGTGGGGTCCATGTCTAATATCTGTTTGCAGCTGCTGTATAAGTATGGATCTGCATCTTTTATGTCTTCTAAAGAAATGGTGTTTCCTGATAATTGTGAGAAAAATGATCGATCAAATGCAATTCCAACTTGGATTTTGTGCATTAGGGCTAATGCGATTATTCTTCCTGCAAAGTTGAAGTATTCAAGGTGCAATGGGTCCACTTTAGATGCTGCAAATTCAACAACAAGTCAACAAGTCAAGAAGTCAATAAATCAAGAAGTCAAGAAGTCAAGTAGTCAAGAAGTTAAGAAGTTAAGAAGTTAAGAAGTCAAGAAGTAATTCCATGTTGAAAAAAATGGATTTTTTATTGAAAGATTGATGAAAGATTGTGAACTTACCTGGATTGGGGAAGAATCTTCTTCGGTCATTAGGGCAAGCAACAAAAAGGGCATTTTGGGGATTAAAGATTTCTTGAGAAACTAAGAAGAACCATTCACGTAATACACCAGGACCTGTAGCTTCTTCGTTTTTGAACTCCATGAATAATCCACCACGAAGAGTTTCAGGATCTACACGTGCAATGTACTCAAAAGATTCAGCTAATAACTGAGATCTGTCAATAAGCATCTCATGAAGCTCATCATATTCATCTTTCATTTCTGGAAGCAACATTAATACTAAATGCCTTCTGGATTCAAAGTCGATAAGATCTTTATGTCCAAGAATCCATTTGTAATCCTCACCTCTTTTAGCATATTTAACAATCAGATAGCATATTGAGACCTTGTTCCTTTTCAGATTTTCCCAAAAGAAATCTTCTGCACCTTGATATAGTTTGGAAATGCTACGCAGTTCCTTCAAGATTGAAAGATAAGAATCCCATCCGAAGTATCCTTTCTTTTCTGTAGCTAAGTAGCTCTCTATTTTATCAAGACACATTTGAACTTTCTCAAAAAGCTCAATGAAGATCATGTATAGAAGTTTGATTTCATCACTGCCACAAGGGAGGGTGGAGGTGGACTTACTTGGTATTGGTATGATTCCCTCAAACTCTGTCTGATCTTTGATTGCAGCCTTGAGAGGACGCAAGAATGAAGCAAACTCAAGGACATCACTTGGTGAAGGACAGACATCATCTATGGCTTCCACACTGGAAATCAAACCCTCTGTTAGGTTGTTTGCAAGCTCAGCCACATATGGAAGAATGTCCTGAACTGTAATGATTACAGGCTTATTACTACTGTTATCATAATTCCGAGAGCTTCTTCCAATTCTAAGGTACTCCACCATTGATCCTAGACTACTCCGGCAATCTTCATACAGAGGATCTGATCTTCCTGAAACTCTACAGAGCAATTTACAGAACTCTAATGCTATAGGTGCACACTGTGAATATATAGGTCTTGACAGTGTATCTTTACTAGAAGTAAGGAGATGTCGAATTGATTCTTGAGCACACTCTTTGTTACCTGCATGAGGCGACATGTAGAGCATCATCAGTGCTGCTGGAGCACATAATGATTGAAATATATTCAGATGAGGCGCCGGTTGATCATCCCCGATATCATACTTGGCAGTCATGTTCAAGAACTCTGTTAACCGCGATTTCACAGACTTCAGACAAAGGCCCTTTTCTCCTTTGCACAACCTGTAAATCGTCGAAACCAAATCATCAATCAACTGCCACGCTTGCGGATGCTCCGTACTCCGCATTCGACCAACCAAATGCAAGCCTGCGTCGTTATTTATCTTACACTCAGCCAAACTATAATCCCACTGAAGCTGCCGGCCTCGATAAATCAAACGCTGCTCGACCATCGGAATTCCGGTGGCGGCCTGGATTTTCTCGTGGATTAATTTGACTTTGTCGTCTGGTTTTCCATGGAGAACTAAGGTTTTGCTTTCGGAAATCATACGAACGAAGAATTGGATACGATCAGGATACCATAAGAAGGCGGAGTCTTGGGTGGAACTGGAACTGGAAGTAGAAGCCCTAGTTTGGAAGTGAGGGTGCTGACGAGTGATTTGATCAAGGAAAGGATTACTGGAAGCGGTGGCGGGAGGAGAATTAGGGTTAGGATCATCCTTTCTCATCCTGAAGGCGGGTAAGTCGTAGGAGAGATCGTCGTATTCGTCGTCGTCGTAATCTTCGAACTTGCGTTTGATTCGCTGGTGAAGAAAGTCGACGGACGGAGAGTCTGGAGAAGACATTGACGGTTGGCCGGCGGGAATGGGTTTACCATGAAACCATCAAACAACAACTTATGAGAAAGAGATTTGTATATCGCTTCGCTTCGCTGGGTTTTACAGAGAGATGATGAGATCAACGCAACCCGTGTTTACTTGCTGAGTAATCTTACAGTAATTGCCAAAAGGCATTAATAATTAAACTTAACGAAATTTGACTAATCTAACCATTTTTTTGGTCTATCTTTGACAAGAATAACTTATTTAGATTGATTTTTGCCAAAATAACATTTTTATCTAGAATGGGTTATTTAGGAAATAATTTTGAACTCCATATCATTTGAACCGGTCCATCAAATACATTCTGATCTCGATATACAAATACATTCCGATCTCTGACACGCTCTCCAGTATTCCAACACACTCTAAGACCCATTCTGGACTCCGACTTAAGATATGGAATGCGATCACGATGACCTGGTTGTTTTACAGACAAGTCGTTTACTCTTATACTCTTATAGTTTAATTTTAACATATTTTGTTTTTAGACCTTCCTCCGGAATGCAAAGAATAGCTCTAGAATGAACTGACAACGTTTCAGAGTAGCAATACATATTGATAGTGCATTAAGACCAACCCAACGGTAGTTTAGTTGTTTATATTATGTTATAATACATCAAAAATAAGTATATTCCGGAACAAAAAAATGCATTCATGAATGCTCCGGAACGTGAGAAATTGTTCCGGAATACGAAGAACATGTCCGGAATGTCAAGAACATGATCCGGAATGGTGGTTGTTGTTCGTTCTGGAGTTGGATTATAACAAGTTTTCTATTTGCAGCACAACATGGTTTTTGATGCATCCATTACACTGACTTGTAAGCCAAAATTCGGTGCGGATATTCTTGCGACAATCAAACACAGATCGACATGTGAAACTATGTTCCAAGATTCATGTTTTGTAAGATGGTTAGACATTCCTAACGTAGATGGTGATCATTTACTTCTACATTAAATGTTTTTCCACGAAGTTATCACGGGCCCTCGAAGCGGAGTACAATAAATGGTTTTTAAGATTAGGGGTTACGAGCTGTCTTTCGGAAGAAAGAATTTTGTCTTGTCACCGGCTTCCACTTTGGTGATTATTTTCTTGCCTACATTTATGGTGTCGTCTTCTGTTCCGGTTTGTTTTCTATGGTTGAGAGAAATGTCTCGGTGAAATTAGACAATGTAATCAATGGGTTTAAACATTCGCTTAATGACTTATTGGACGATGATGTTGTTTGTTTATGTCTTCTCTATTTGTTAGACAAGGGTTTCAACGGGCAGTTGCGTAAATAGCCTGTGACAAATGAGTATTTCTCTTTTCTATACAACAATGATTAATTCAACAGGTATCATGTCGTTAATATATAATTATCATTACTAATATTTTATACAAATTTAATTGTGAATTTTTTTATGTCGCAGATATCCATGGGGGAGGATATTTTGTGATAAGTTGTACTCATAGCTATTTACTATTCACTAAGGTTGAGAACTTTATACATTCAGTCGAACCAAAGGCTAAATAACCTAAAACAATGACATACACCCTAAATGGATTTGTATATGTTTTTAAGGTAAAATACATGATTAATAATATAACATTTTTTTGCTTGATAATATTCTAATACATGATTATTTCATATATGGATTCTTGATAGTTTTCATGTGAGCAGTTTGTTCGGTACCCGACAACCAAATGTGATCCCTCGGGCTATTGCATGGTCGAAACTGAGGCATTTACGAGCGGTTGAGTGCAACGAGATTCTAAAAATTAACAATGTATGATTATTTATATATTTTATAATTTTCTTCTATATGTATAATTTATGTTTATTTATAATTTTATAATTTTATTAGCATGATTATAAACTAATAAAAAAGTTGGAGCCAACAGAAGCTGAGAGTCATGCTGAATGGTGGATAGTTAGTTCGGCATGGATTGATTACCCTGATTTACCTGACACATAAGTTCAAATGACACCTTCCCTAATACCATCACCCAAACACTCTCTCCCCATGAACCTCAACAAAAAAGGCACGCATATATTTTCTATCTCACCTGTCATGACCACCACCACCGTCCACTGTACCATCAAATGATAAGGACCGAATTATTACTGAGTTGCAAAACAAGGTTCGTGAATTGCAAACGAGGTTCATGAATGTCGCGAGCAGTTGAACGCTTATCATGTGACCGTAAAGTTTTTATTTAACTTTATGGTATACATGTTATTGCATCGTTTATAATTATATACTAGTGAACCGTACATGCACTTATCGTGTAAGTCGTTGCTACCACATATAACAATGACTTATGGGAGCATGATTATGGGATTGGCACACCCGAACGTCCGTTGAATCACGACCATGAGTATCCATCTCCATGTATTCAATCGTCATATGTAAAAGAGATCCCGCAAGAAGAATACAAAACGTCTACAACATTATAACGTCCGCAAATTCAGGCTAGACGTTTAAAGTATAATAATAATAACAATTATACATTTTATCGAACAATTAAAATCCTTGAATAAGGTAATTGTTATTCGTACGCGTTACAAACTATATAAATATTATCATATACAAATATTATAAGTATATAATATTTGTAGAAAATCTTAATATAAAATTTATCATTAAACGATAAAATAACATTTTGATAAAGCTTACTTAGGATAAATGATATAAACAAAATTCGTAGTATTCGTAATTACTAAGCCGTGAGTATAAAGAACGTCAAAATATGACTTCGGATGAAGAAGTTATGATTTTATAAAGTTTCGCGTTCGACACGATACCACGTGTTAGCACCACAGACTAACCTTGGTCCCTACGCTGAAGACACGGCACACCCATTTATAGGCACGACGCGCCTTTCTTCTAGCCTCTATAAATGGTGCGGATTTTGCTTCATTTGGTGCTAATTTGCTCTCATTTTTCTCTTAACGTAACATCCCGATTTTCAACCCAAATTTTTTATTTTTATTTAGTTAAATATATCATAGTAGAATTACATTAAGCGGAAACATATTGCGAATGCACGTGTGTACAATCGAACCTTGCCCTTCTCACGTATCAATGAGGTACCTGAAAAACATTTATATTCAACTGGGCAAACATGAAGCTTAATTAGTTCTCCAAAATACCATATACCACAATATATATATATATATA